AAAGACCAGTTATTACAGGTTACAGGTATTACAGGGTACAGGTAGGTATTACAGGTTATTAAAGGTCTAACAGGTGGATAGGTAGAGGAAATAATGCCCCTTTAAAATGGCCACCTCGATCCCCGGACCTAAACCCATGTAATTATTTCATTTGGGGAGCGTTGAGGACCACAGTTTAAAATAACTTTTCAGTAAATACAGAAAACGAATATGGGAAAGAATACAACATGAAATTAATGTTATGAGAGGTAATGCACAATTATTGGATAATTTCTAATTTTCGAAGAACTAATGTTTGCGTTTAAGAACAAGAAAGTAACTTTGAGCATTTACTGTAATATTATTTTAATGTGATTACAAATATCAGTTTATTTAAAATGTTAATGTTGACTTTCTTACATTATTAGTTGATATTGTTTATTTAAAATATTAGTGTTGATTTTTATTTTATTGATTGATAATACTAATACCAAAAATGTGTAGTTATTTTTTTTAATGTGACGTTTTTTCATTATTATTCCCTGCTTTGAGGCTGCAGTTATAAATTATTTTTTATAAATCGGAATTTTTGCCTATATTTAATGTATAAAAAATGCGAATTTTACTCGAAATCCATAAACGATATCGAAATTTTGTAAGAGCAAAAAAATCTTCTAAAATAGTGCTTATTTTTAAAAATATAAATTCTGTCGTCATTGGCATACACACAAAAAAGTTACGGGATAGCCAGTGGCGCACAGGCACTAGAAATAGAACATCCTGTATATGTATTCTCTCCAAATTCTATATTTACCTTACCCTTATATAAAAAATAAGTGTACCAAATTTGAAGTATCTAAGAAAAATAGTTTTCAATTTATTTGAAAAAAATAGGTCATCTATTCTATATTTAGAAGGCTATATCTCAGTAGGCATGCACTTTTGTATATAGGTAAGTTAGGCTAAATGAGACTTATTTTCATCCAAGGAACCTGTTGTCAAGCGTTGTCCATCCTTTTCAGGGACACCCTGTATATGGAAACGGTCGATTATCTCCTAAAGATAGACATAATCATAAGACACAAACATTTTAGTTTTTTTTTAATCTATTACAATAAAGAAAAATGAAGTATACAAGTAAAAAAATCACGACGAAACAAAGTTACTTGTATGTAACACCCTGTATATAATTCCATATTTCAATTCTTCTCAAAATTCTAAACAAAATTCATATAGCACATCATGTACCAAAATTAACCGTTTTTAAGATATCGAACTTTGAAAGTCACTTTTTGCTACTCTCAAATTTATAAAAGAAAAAAGGCTCGAAAGTATGGATATTTATTTTGAAAATAACACAAGATGGATATGATTTAATTTTATTATTAGTATTTTACAAAAAATAAGAAAGCTAAAAGTTCAGGGTTGATAAAAATGCATGAAACGAAAAAACGTATTTTTTACTGAATGTCCTGGATATTTTAAATTTTATGAAAACAATAGTTAAGCCAGAATAAAAAAATAGAAAACAAGTTTTAATAGACAACAAATATTTTTTTGGAATTCTATTTCCTAAGGTGCTCAAAGTGTTCACCATTTACCTCCTAACAGCAACGAATTCGGTAAACAATATTTTGTAGTGAATCTAAAAGGATGTTGGTAGGAATAGTGAAAATTTTATGCCATATCCTTTCCTGCAACTTTTCGATATTTTGCAACCTATTTTTGTAAAGTACACTTTTTATGTGACCCCACAGAAAAAAGTTATGCGGGGTCATATCGGGAGACCTAGCCGGCCATTCAATTGCCCCTTTGCGTCCAAACCATACATCTCGAAGAGTTTTGTCTAGGTATACCTGTACCACACGTCTAAAATGTGGAGGAGCCCCCATCATGTTGAAATTATATTTGTTCTGCAGGTAAATTGGGATTGTTATTGTTCGGAAATAATCGTCTAAGCTCTGGAATAGTATGTTATTGCTAGTGTAACAAATATGGTTCAGAGGTTAAATTTCCGTTTATAAAATAGGGTCCTATGATGTGTCCATCAATAATGCTACACCAAACATTTACTTTCTGTTCGATCGGTTTACATGCCCGTTTAAACAAAATGTAGAATCGTCAGAAAGCAATACGTGGGTGACAAAGTTGACATTTTCGTTTAATTTATCCATAATAACTTCGCAGGACTCGATTCTACGATCATAATCGTCTCCACTCAATTCTTGCAGCAAATGAATTTTATATGGATGTTTTTTCCCGTTTGTAATTTTTTTAATGGAATATCGACTCATGCTATGATTTAAAGGCCTCTGTTGTAGAATGCAGCGCCGAATAGGGAAAAAAGGGAAAATTTCCGATGGGCCTTTTTAGAATGGAAAGCAAAAAAAAATAAAAAATTTTGTCGCTATTTAAACTTTATATTTTTTTTTTGGGACAATTTATTTAAGAGACATTTTATATGTTCGAAGTACAATTTTTCGTTAAGTCTGCTGAAATATTTATTAGTCTTAATAAAACTTGTGTTTTATTTTTGCAAAACATATAATTAAAGGTAACAGGACAGATTGTTCTATGGATTTTTTCTTTTCCATGAAAAGTCATAATTTTTAATTTTATTACAAAATTTAGTTAAAAAAAGACACAATTTCTTGAAAACTTTACATATGAAATTAACTTATATCAGTAAACGATTTAATACCTGCAAATTCAAAATTTTCAGTAAATTGCAGGAAGAAACCCTATAGTAAAAATCGAAAAATTGATCTTATCAAAATTGACTTGCTTACTTCAAAACATCCAAGTTTTAGAAATAAGATTTATTTTAATCGAATTTGCTGAAATTAATGAAGTTTCACATGTATGTTATTCTTTTGTGTACTATTAGGTTAATACATATGATTTAACAATACGTTTTCCTTGGTTTTATTTTCGTACAAATAATTGTGGTTTATTCTAGAATTAAGTTCTTAGATTACAGCTCTCATATTTTCTATTTAATATAGAATACAAAATCGTATTCTATGGTTCAAGCTTAATGGATTTAGAAAAGTCTCTAGTAAAAAGTTACCGAGTAAAGCGCTTAAAAGTAGTCGAATGCAAGGTAGAATTATCCACTGAAAAAAATAAAAGAAATAATAAACTAATTGATGGATAAAATAAATAATACATTTAAAAATTTTCAGTCTTTTCAACTTTGGAAAACCTGACATAAATAACGACTACTTCAAAACTGTACAATAGAAAAATCCGCTTTCTTTTTATTATGGCAAGCCAAGTCAGTAGAATTTTTTAGGGCCGCTAGTTTGAAAAATTCCCGGGCCGCTTTTTTCTCCCAGTCCGGCGCTGGTAGAATGTATTGGATTTTCCATCACACCTAACATGACATTCAAAGAATTTTCCTCATTTGTAACTCTAACTGTTCTTTCACTTTTTCGTCGATCTGTAACACCTTTCATGAAAACGCTGCAATGTTTTTGAAATGGTTAATTTAGAAATACGTTCCCGATCGGGAAGCAATTCATGAAAAATATCCATTAGTTCGTCTTCCCTCACCATATCCAAAGATCATTAAAACTTCAATATGCTCGGTTTCACGTAATGCCATTTTTGCGAGAAAATCGTGTATTTTTGACATGTGTTAATCACTATTAGACAAAAGAACGACGCGGCGTTGTTGAGGAGCTAGAAAATTTCAAAGGTAACTTGATGGACTATAAACTTAATGGACTAAAATATGTTTATGTAATTTATAAGAAAATGATTTTCAAAGTTCGATATCTCGAAAGCGGTTAAACATGATGTAGAATACGAATTTTGTTTAGAATTTGGAGAAGAATTGGAATATGGAATAATATACAGTGTGTTCCATTAAAGAAAAAGCAACTTTGTTTCGTCATGACTTTTTGACTGGTCCTCTGTACTTAATTTACAGCATTACAGTAATTGGTCTTATAATAGTTGTTAAAATTATTAAATTAAGGCAACAATATTGCGCGCGTTCACCATTAAAAAGTGACAAAACCGAAACCAATGACAATGACGTCATTAGACGAAGAGGCATCAAATAATAGACCTTATAGGTGATACGTGATAGTAGTAGTCAACACAAATAATAATAAACAAATGAAACAAAATGTATTTGTACATAATAAAATATTCTTTAATAAAACAGCAAGAACTTTAGTAGCGTTTGATCGGTCCTCGCAAAAAGGAGATCCCAGATAGGACAAAGCGTGCAAATTCAGACCTTTGCATTTAAAATTCAAATTAATAGCGGCGGCTAATCCCGCAAAAACAGAAGAGAGCATCAAAAACAATTCCATTCCGGCAAATCGCAGAACTCCATGACCGTTTCGTAGCCATCTATTCAAGATTGTAAATTACAGCAGTGTAATACGCATGCGATTTTAGGCCTCGCAGGCGAGACTGTGACGGAGCCTCGAATGCGCCGAACGTGGTTCGGTAACGTCCTCAGCCCGCTTCCCGGGAGTTTTGGCAGAGCGTTTGGTGGGAATTAACCAGCTTTGAATCCCATTAATCAGCGTCTCTTAAATCCCAGCTATAGCTGTTTGTTACAGCTTGCTTTTCCACCCCCGGTCGCCGCCACCGCGACAATCTGCCAGGCCCGCTGCGATGGCCGGATTTTTTAGCGCTGCGGTGCGTTCAGCGCCGACTTTGATTGACAACGCGTAATTGCAGGGCGTTTTCGGATATTTTACGTCGCATTGTAATAATTTTAAGCGATGGCTAAGTTGGTTGTTATTCCCCACACCTGAACAGCTAGACTAAATTCGACACTGCTGGTGGTTTCTCATATTTCCCGAAAAGAAAAAAATTTGTTAAACGTCATTGACTCAGTGGCGGCTCGTGACATTGTGAATAGGTGAGGGCCGTGCCTTTTTTACTAGGTGGACAAGAAAGAAAAAAAGAGCCGCAGGCAAAAATTTTTAAATTTTCAAGGTCAAATAATTATAAATATTTTTAAATTTTTCTTCTTAATTCAGAAATTCTTTGACTAGTGATTTTAATTTGTTTAGAGCAGTAGTTTACGTCATTACGCTATGAAAAAGGTGTTTAAAGAAATAAAACAATATTGCGAGATAGATTTATTATTTGCTACTTTTGTAGATAGTTGATAATATAATAAGTATCTATTAAATTACGTTAAATTTAGTTTTACTTTGTTTTGTCGTAAGGAAGTTGTTTTTTATTTACTTTAAATTAATACCAGCCTTGTCCTTATCCTTAAAACCTTCGTACTATCCCTCACACTGACATCAGACACTACCCGCGTACTATGCTACGCGTACATTAACCACGAACTGAAACTATATGCAGCTTTGAGCGGGCCTCAATTTCCTTGTAAATTATGTTATTTTAACCGCCTCGCGTGGAGGGGGAACTAGCATATTGGCAAGTGTGACGCGCTTACAAGCAAATAAATTCTGGCCTCACTGGGGTGGGGACTAGTGGGGAGTAATAGTATGCAATGTCGCACCCTTGGAAACGGCGAGCGGCGAGATATTCAATATTGGAAATTAGTTTACCTAACTGTTTATTTAGGTTAATAGTAAAATAGTCGGTATTAAAATATACGATGTGAGAGTCAAATTTTACAGTGAGGCCCGGTCTCAGTTGCTTCATACGACGAGCCGCCACTGCATTGACTCGATTTTCGAGAAAAGTTGATTGGCGAAAACCTCATCCAATATCTTAATTCGTTTAATTGTAAGACATGCAGAGCTGCAAGTTTGGTCGTTTTCTATACCCCATTACTTTTTCGTCTGAAAAAAAAAACAAAAAGTGAAATTTGATTTCTGTAGTTCTTCCGATTTTATTCAACAAATGCCTATTTATCCAGTATTACTGTGGTTTTCATAGCACTCTTATTACTGTGGTTTATTGTTAACATCAGTCTACATGTATTATTCTTAGTCTAAGACTATATTAAAATGGCCGATTATACAGGGTGATTCAGAACTTATTAAAAAAATTAAATGTACAGGGGACTCCTACAAATACAATTTTGTAAAAAAAACCTTCAACGGGCGGTTTGGAAATTGTTTTAAAATTCCCTTTTTATTAATTCCCCCCCCATTAGGAAAAAAATTTCAACTTATTTTGAGGATTTTGTTGGTAACCTTCCAATTATTTTCCGGGTGTTTCAAAAGTTTGGAACCCCCCCTCTATCTTATCAGAAAGTACTGCTCAAACAAAAAAATGATTAGTAGAAAGGTTATAGGGTTTTGAGTGAGCAATCTAACGGTGACCTTGACCGTGACCTTGGTGGTCATTTAGAGGTCAAGTTGAAAATTTTAAACGGAACGGTATACTTTTGACCCCGGAAATGGTAAGAGCGGAAAATTTTACGTTCCAGTGTGATCTTGACCATAACTTTCAGGGTCATTTAGAGGACAAGTTAAAAATTTTACTGTATACTTTTTTTTTGCCGTTAAATTTTTTTCGTAAACTTAAGTTATTTGCTTACGTTTGATGTTACAGTTACCTATAGGTCATGGTCAAAGACATGGTTTACGTCATTTTTTAATTTTACGCTCTCTCAATTTCCGCAGTCAAGAATATCGGGTCATTTATTAAAAATCGACTTGACCTGTAAACGACCTTGAAGGTCGTGGTCAAGGTTATATCCGAACGTAAAAATTTCCATTTTTTCCATTTCCCAGGTCAAAAATATACGGTTCCATTTAAAATTTTCAGGTTGACCTCTAACTGACCTTGAAGGTCATGGTCCAGGTCATGGTCAAGGTCACCGTTGGATTGCTCACTCAAAACCCTGCAACTTTTATCCTAATATTTTTTTTGTTTGAGCAGTATTTTCTGAGATATAGGGGGGATTCCAAACTTTTTGAACACCCGGTATAATAGATGTTCAATGAGGTTTAAATCCTCTGAATTTACCAGATACGACTTACATGAAAATAATTTCAACTTAAGGAAGACTTCAAAGTATTATATTGCTGAGTTTCTCATTGATACTGTTATACAGTGTCGAATAAAATTAATCGAAATACCTACGGTTGTTTATTACTATGTAAAAAAATGATAATTTATATTGTTCTCTTTACAGCCGTGCAAAACGAGAGGCAACCAAGGAACACAGCTACTATTAGACCCGAAACGTTGAGAGACATGAGCGCCGAACAGGAGCGGGCTTTAAGGGAAGCAGCAGTGGCGGTTGGTGTTTTTGGGTAAGAGATTTACATAATACCACATTTATCAAAGTCTAATAATTATCAAAATAGTCACGAACATATGAAAATTATTCTTATTGAAAGACCACCAAACAAAATTGTTACAATCAGTGATGAACGAACGTTCAATATTTATTTGATTTACATTCTCTTTGATATTAAAAGCACTCTATAGTTTTTTGGATATTTAATTGCATCCTCTATTTTTTGCCTTGTGTTAACAATTTTCTATTTATTTGAGGTGCTTCAAGAGTAGGTACTTTTACAGTGGTATTGTTTTTATTTAAACTCATATTTAACTTTTTCCTAGAATTCCGCTTAAAGCAACGATATTAGTCCGTATAATTCGCGTTTCGCCAAACACGCTCCTGTGAAAGATGAGTTCGCGTCCTCTATCGATTTCAGCCAGTGAACTATAACCTTACACAAAAATGAACACCGATCATCAAAAGCGTTTGATGTGTGGAAGAGAACCATCCTTTATCAGACGTTAAAGCCTCAAAAGCGCCACATTTCCAGTTCACCTGCCATTGTCTCATAATCTTTTGCTCGGCGGTGTATCATGTCACAGGTAAATAAAAAATCATGCCGTGGAAACGCAGAAAGCGTACTTGTTTTAAATGTACAAGACTAGAGTTCGTATTCATGCGATTTTGAAATATACGTACCTTATCGATTGAATCCAAAAACTGTTTGAAAAGTTGTTGTACCTACAATTTTTTTCTTCCTTTACAGACCACCGGTGTCGCTAACAATGGCTCTGACACCTTCCAGATATACCAACAGCTTTCTGCCACCAGTTTCTCACCCTTCCTTGCCCAATCGGGAACCATCTCCCACTAAGGACAACAGCGATAATGATGGTAAGTATAATATGTATTTAATATAGTTTGTAAAATGTACCTTTGTAATTTGAATTTCTTGTTATATATTTATCGGTGAAGATCCTGCTATCTGTTGAATTACAATTACTAAAAAAACCTAAATGCAATGTTTCTGTTCTTCTGGCTGTCTCTCCGATTTCTTCCACGTCGCTAGATCCTTGACTTATAGATTCCTCATTTCGTGTAAGATTCTCCTTTTCCTGCCTATCTCCTCTATTCCCTATTCTTATATTTTTCTTAATCTTCTTCTACGTCTTAATACTCTTCTATTAGGTATACTCCTAATTTGCCTAACTTCTTCATAGTGTTTTCAGTTTCATTTTATTATTTTTTGTTTATTATAGCCAGAACTCACTTGCGTACCTATATTTTTATTGGACGTATTATTTCATTACACATTTTTAGTTTTGTTTTTACTTATTCTTTTTTTCAAATCTTCGAGTTCTGTTGGCGACATAGTATAGGTTGTTTGTCTTTTTTCTTCTGTTATTCCATATATTTATTCAAATCTATTTTTCCATTTTATATTATGATAGTTCTCAAATAAGCTTATGTCGTTAATCTATCAGTAATTTTTTCCTTTATTTCTATTATTCTGTTGCATTCGAACCTGATATAATATGCGCCATACTGTTGATCATATGAAATTGATCATTGAAACATATACAGGGTGATTCAGTCATAATACCATTAATTTTAACCACGTCCGAATACGTGGTTAAGAAAGGCCAACTAAAAACAGAACATCGAAAAAAGAAATTTCGAAAAGTAATCGAACGTTGAAGCGAAACAGCTGATTTCCCCAGACATCTTGAATTTTGCAATTATTTTCAAAATCAAAGTGCAGCGAATCCTAACAATGCTTTGGACGAATGAGTGAGTGTTCATTTAGCCGTACTGTCATTTTAAATATGTAGGTATAATCTTTCCAAAATCAGTTGAACATGTATAAAAAAACCGAACAATCAAATTTAATGAGTTTCATAGGCGTCCCTAAAAAAGTTTTCTGCTAAAGGTATAAAATTATAATAATTTGTATATAATGTGTAGAAAATTTCTATTATATGTTCATTTGGCCAACAATATATTTTAATTATTTATGTTCCCAAACAATTTTATTATATTGGTGGTAAATTTCGTATTGTTCCGTTTCAAAAGGTCTCCAAAATGCCATGTTGTGATAATATTAGTAAACAAAATATCCCTCTTATTTCTCCCTTTCGCAATTGTAATATGAAAGATTAATAGAAGGTGCCTATAATAAATTAAAATTACCTGAATCACACCAAATTCCTAATTGCTGCACTGCACTGCTGGGCAATTTATCAACCACTTGTCAACTGCTGTGATTTATTGCCCAGTAGCACAATACAACTGTCTTCGTTTTCCTTTGCTCGCGCTCGCATTCTTCAACTAGTCGTATACATTTCTACCACCTTCACGTTTAGTTCGACCAGACCTGTATATGGATATGGCTAAATAAATATGGGAACAAATTTTTCAAATATTTCAATGCTGAGTTGTTACGTCAGCGACTGAACCTGGTACAATGGTTAATCTGTTAGTTCTTCAATTGATTTCCGAAAGACTATACCATACTACTATTTGAAAAGCAATAAGTCACAAAATAAAGTATATGTACTACAAACTGAATAATTAATTAAACATAATAATAAAAACTCGTATTCAATTGTAAAACATAGTGAAAATGTTAACAATATTAAAAATATTAAATAACCTAACATTCGGAAACAATTATTATCCTTATAACGAGCGTTCAAATAAAAACGTGGTCGAAGTTGGCTCTGACACATTGGGAGTAGCTTATAGCGACCAACTTAACCTCATTTCTCAACGAGCTGTATAGCAGCTGTCAGTTTCAATAACGTTAATGACTATATAACTTTATTTTAAAGAATAATCGTGATAACAATAACAAACAATTAAAGGAGCTGCGGAAAGTGTCCCCCTCCTTGTTATAACAATAAATTAAAGCAGCTGCTGAAAGTGTCCCCCTCCTTGTTCCAAGCACTTTTCACACCTGTTCCTCNCTTTTTGTTCTTGAGAAAACACCATTTTAAACGCTTTTTAAAACGAAAATATTCAAATTGATAGCGGCAATATAACGCTTTGACAGATGACGTTTAAGTTCATTTGCTATACGCTACGCCCTACGTCCAAATTTTCAGAACCAACTTGACCACGTTCTTATTTGAACGCTCGTTACATTTGTTTTTATTAACAATTAAATAATATTTGTTAATATTTGAAATCTAAAAAAATTCTTATTTATTATGTGTCTAGGAAAAAAGGTATGTTTTTGTGTTCACTATTAAAACGCAGTAAAAGCTAGGTTAGTGACCGATTCACTCTTGATAAACCTTTGTAGTCAATAGTCAGGAGCGGCCCGAAAGGGGTTTAAATGATGATTTGAAAATATTTTTTTCAATGTAAATATACATTTTTTAATCGCGTATTCTACTCATTTTTCTCTATATTCCCTTAAAATTAATGACATTATGACTGAATCACCCTGTATAGCTTAAACACAAATAATGAAAGGTATTCGAGTACAAAATTTTATTTAAAATAATAAATTATTATTTATAATAAAAAATGTTTACTAAACAACGCAACCAAAGAAAATTTCAGTTCTGTAACTCAAAAAGTAATTTTAAACTTGAGTTTTATTCAAATTTCGACATTAAAGCAAATTAATATTATTTTGTAAATGAACAAACGATATTCAGAACTTCTGATTAATTATTTTTTTTATAAAATAAATTTTAAAGGTTATTTTTATTAAATATATAAAAACATTTATACATATTGGCAGTTAAAGTGGCTAGAACTCTTAATATCATGGATTGCAGGTTCTATTTTAAACAAATTTTTCACATTTTTCTGTTTTTCCATTCTTCTAATTTTTTCTTCACACAAATTTTCAACAGGACTGGCCAATCAAAGTACGATTATTTTTCCTAACGCTACTTCTATATCCGTATTATTTAAACCTTTTTTATATTCAAGTTTTCTACAACAGAAAGCAACCACCTGTCTAGTGCCCAAAATCCAGCTCGTGTGTAACACGGACCCGCTGGCTTGTAGGCAATCTAATAACAATTTGTCCAACTTTAACCCTACACGACGGCTCCAACCGTCTACTCTTAAAACCAAATTAGCAAACGACTGTACGCCCATCCCTCCCAAATGACGTAATTTAAAATCGCCGACTTTGAATTTATTCAAATTGAATTTATTAATCCGGAGTCGCTCGTCTCCGGACGGGTTGCGCCCCGTCGCGGCGGCGGCGCCGTTGCCAATCCAAATGCTGTACAGCATAAAGTACACCGTTGATTCCTAAAAGGCTAAAATTTATTATTTGTGGAAGGACAAGTCAATTAAAGGGTAGTTTTTGGACTATACTACAATATAATATTAAAAAATGAAAACCAAAGTATGCCCCAAAATAAACATAAACATTACACATGTACTGAGTTTCCCTAAATCTGCCGTAGAACGGGTCTACTTGGCAACGTCGCTAGCATGTCGTGCGTATGGAGAGGATCTGGGTCCGATTCCCGAGGGAATAATTAGTAAACGACGACACTTTGCGAATAATCCTGCTCAGATTAAAATTCTCGATACATCTTTGGGATTAGGCGTCCTGGATTAATGGGACGCAATTTTAAAAGTGTATTCCGTACGTGCTCTCTTCGTGGGAACCTGTATCGGTTTCAGTCGGTGATCGACACAAGAGAGGGTTTGTTTCATTTGTCTCCAAGTGTGAATTGAAACAGAAATTTAGTGAGTCAGTCAGACAAGGCAGACTTTTTGATTTTTCCCCCAACACCAATCACTATTTTATAAAGAAATAATCAGATTTTTGTAGAAGAAAGTATATTCTGAACGTACTCACTTACAACAGTTTGTCATAAACTAATCATTAATATTGATGACGCCAAGATTTAGGTATTTCTTGTTGACTCTACCAACCGTGCAGTGTTGACTGTCTAAATTTGGTGGTAACGTGACTTGTAATCATTTACGAAGGCTCCGTACGCCAACTCGTATTGGTTTCGTGACTTTTGAGGTATTAAAATTGACATTGCCGCGTCAGCGAACTCTAAAACTTCTGGTGGAGTATTTTGAAACTCATCACTGTAATCACTATCAAATAATTTTAACTTGATTTTTTAATTCCAACTTTTAAGAACAATGGTAATTTCAGATTATTTACAACATTTTCCATTAGTACGTATTATGACAGCCTAGCATAGATTTCATGGTATACTATGGATGGAACCAAAGCCGACTTTCTGTCTATTGCTGCTGTTGAACTACAAAAGAGGCAGCGATTTGCCCTAAGTCACGTGACATAGGATACAAATCGCGCGACATTGATTTTAAAAGAAACTGTTACTGATTCTGAAATTCCCTCTATTTTGGTAGTAACACAACAACTAAAAAAAAGATTGTCAAATCTATATGTAAAATACGCAATAACACTTAATCCCACGTAATGGATATAACAAATCGCGTGTGATAAGCCTACAAATGCCCTAAATCACGTGGCGCGAGACTAGTATACTGTCAAATATACTGTCAGCCTAGTAATGATTATTATTATTATCTGCACCCACTAATTATTAATTGTCACATTTTTCTCAAAATGATTTGACCGCTCCATTTCAGTTACCAGAAGCTCAATATTTTCTGAGTGATCCATTAAAACAGCATGATGCGACGTACTACTATAACTTGGAGCTGAAGTGTCATTGTAATGAATCCTGTTGGCTATTTCATTTTTGTTACATAAACTGTCAGCGATTGTGGCTGATTTCCACCCACCATGTCTCTTGATTGCTAATACATTAACTCCTGTATTAGCCAGTAACGTTGCCGATGTTCTTCGGAATGAATGGCCTGTATATGTTTCAGGATGTTCTAGTTTAAAAAACTGTGCAGTCTTATTAGGAATCATATAAAGGGTATTCTTTCCGACTGGTTGGTTGTAACATCTACCTGCTCGATAGCGCATAAAAAAAGCGTGAATTTTCAGTTTTAATTTCCAATTTAATCTTGATATATTTCTTGGGAATTTCTAGGTGAGAAACAAAACCCAGACGAAAAGTAATTGTAAACGTACGTGACATACCATTTTTAAAATCTGGAATTGTAACTACAATAATGTCATCAAAATTTTTGAAATTGACGTCCAAAGTAAGTTTGCATAACTCATCAGAACCTGCAATGCCTAAGACCGTCACTACCTTCATTAGCACATATGTGTTGTCGGGTGCCTGAACGAGAAAATCGTTGACTTGTTCCTTTGTAAAAACGTTTGACTTTTTTTCAAAAATGCTCTCAGCTTGGCCTATTTTGATATATCCACGTTCTCCTCTATGAAAATAGTTGACTTAATTATTGAGTATTCACTCCACAAACTCGCCGATAACTTTAAGCTCTTGACTTCTCCATGAAATTTGCTAGCAGTGACATTTCAGAAACACCAGTATTTTTGTTCTGGCACCATTCTTTAAAATTTCTATATGCTCGTCCGTAGCTCACTTTCGACTTCTCGGTCAATAAAAATTCGCAGGCAGCATCAGCAGAAAATCATTTATTTAGAAAGAATAATTCAAAACCAGCAAAATTGCAACTTTTAAGTAGCTTTGTTTATAAACACCTTAGAAACGACAAAATCCAAACAACCAAGGCGACTTTGCAAGATTTTGAATAATGCCAAAATGAATTGATTAAGAAATGTCAAAACATAAAACCTAATCTTTATTTCATGAACCATAGAAAACTGTGGGAGCAGATAAAATGTTATATACCACGCAGCAGTTAAGTATAATTTACCAGTCTCGGACTCATTGTCATCCCTCGCTCCGCTCGGGCGCAAACTCGTCCTCGACTGGCAAATAATACTTACCGGGTGTACCTAAATAACTATTTTATAATGTTTTGATTGTCAGGATATAACGTCAAACTGATATATACAAGAAATCGATATTGTACAAATAGATTTACAAATATTGACCATTTCTTAGGATAATTTTTAAGACCGAAGATAAAACATTCTAAGATACCTTGTTCTCATGTTATGATTTTAGTGGTTAAGTGATAAACGTGTTATGGCAATAATATACTAATAATATGAGACTAAAATTTATTAATATTAACAGAAATAGCTTATTGCCTCTATGTCTTTCTCTTGACATCTTGATACTTCCTTACATATTCCAGCCTGTTTGAAATCATTTCCTTGAATCCTCTTCGCTGGTTCAATTTTATTTGATAGCGATTCTGAATGCATTCTTCTGCCAGGGTGGATAACTTTCACCAGTTGAAGGGTCGCAAAATCGCCATCTTTATTGACCCGCCATCTTACTATGACCCGCATAGAAAAACAATCGGTATTCTTCATATCAAACACTTGAATCATCAATCAATTTCAATCCCAGGCAATTTCAACATGGAATTCAAAGATTCTGGCAGTACTTCTCTTCTCCATTCTGTCATTTCTCTTCTATTCTGCCATCCTCTCAACTTCTGTCATTTTCAAAGATGAATTTGAAATAATTCCTTAGTGGACCTATTTCTTTCTCCTTAAACATTCAGAAAAATTGAGGATAATTATTTCGATTATTTCGTTATTTTCATTGTATTTCAGCAAAATTGTTCACTCTTTCATACTAAAAGATCTATGTTTACATTTTCTTTGTCTCTTGAAACAAACAAAATTTACATATTTTTATCAAGACGGCTATGAAGATATGGGTCCAACGTAACTCATGTGTTTGTGGGTCTGTATAAATATGAGTCATCAATAGCCAAAGATGGAAAGATAGAAAAACCACTGTCAACATGTTATTTTCAAGATGCTATATCTTCATAAGGAGTCAGAATTGAGCCTCAGCTTATTTCCACTCGTTGTATTAATTTTTACCCTGTAGAAGTTTGGCAGTGGAATGAAGGGACATCCTGTATATTTAATGGTGCCATTTTCTTCCAACTCCAAAACGTCTTCCACCTGAAAGTAATAATTTCCACAATTTCAGAAGAGAGCATAGACGTCACCAACGAAGAAGACGACACGCCCACATCTGGATGCGGGGTGTCTTCGAGTAGCGGCCCCCTAAGACCAGAACCTCAACCCGCCTCCATAACAGCGGGTCTGTATCCTTCCTCGCACGAAACCATATACGAAACGTCGGCCAGATTGCTCTTCATGGCTGTCAAGTGGGCCAAGAATCTCCCCAGTTTCGCCAGTTTGCCCTTTAGGGACCAGGTGAGATTATCAATAATGAATAATGACCGTTATTAGAAGATAATTTAATGTTGGCAAACTTTTATTATCTCATTAAAATATGGTAGCGAGGCATATGGTGGAAAACGACACTTATAATAAAATTTTATGAGTATACTGTGGGTAGTCTGTATGTCTGGTAATGAAATTAGAAAATTTGGCATTACTTTTTGTAACAGTGTAAAAATATGGCACAGACAAGTTACTATATTAATGGTGTATTTACAACTTTTTATCTTAAAAAAGTTATTTTAGCAAAAAGAAAAATTTCTGACCTATGGATTGTCTTCCGTACACCCTCAATTCCCCCCAAAAATTGAAAAAATCCAAACTAGCCATCTAACCCACCTATCTTTAGTAAAATTTTCCTTTGAATCCGAAAATGATAAAAAGAAAATTTTCTGACTTATGGATTATCCCCACACACCCTCAATTCTCCTCAAAAATTAAAAAAATCCAAACTAGTCATCCCATTAAATGTGTAAAACTTTCCGCAAAATTCGAAAATGATAAAAAGACAATTTTCTGATCTATGGACTCTCCACCACACACCCTCAATTACCCTCAAAAATTAAAAAAATCCAAGCTAGCCATCTAACACACCTATCTTTAGTAAAATTTTCCGTTGAATCCGAAAGTGATAAAAAGAAAATTTTCTGACCTATGGATTCTCCCCCACACACCCTCAATTCTCCTCAAAAATTAAAAAAATCCAAACTAGCCATCCGATTAAATGTGTAAAACTTTCCGCAGAACTCGAAAATGATAAAAAGAAAAATTTCTGACTTATGGATTCTCCCCCACACCCTCAATTCTCCTCAAAAATTAAACAAATCCAAACTATCCATCCGATTAAATGTGTAAAACTTTCCGCAGAATTCGAAAATGATAAAAAGAAAATTTTCTGACCTATGGACTCTTCCCTACACACCCTCAATTCCCCCAAAAATTAAAAAAAATCCAAACTGGCCATCTAACCCACCTATCTTTAGTAAAACTTTCCGCGGAATTCGAAAATAATAAAAAGAAAATTTTCTGACCTATGGATTCTCCCCCACAAACCCTCAATTTCCCCCAAAAATAAAAAAAACAAACTAGCCATCTAACCCACCTATATCTTTAGTAAAATTTTCCGCTGAATCCGAAAATAATAAAAAGAAAAATGGCAAAAAAGTTTCCATTTTCGGATTTGGCGAATTTTGCTAAAGATAGGTAACCTGGATGACCAGTTTGGATTTTTTTAATTTTTGGGGGGGATTGAGAGTGTGTAGGGGAGAATGCATAACTCAGAAAATTTCCTTTTTATAATTTTCGGATTCAGCGGAAAAATTTAATAAAGATAGGTGGGTTGGATGTCTAGTTTCGTTTTTTTTAATTTTTGAGGGGAATTGAGGATGTGTGGGGGGATTCCACACGTCAGAATTGTTATTTTATCATTTTCGGATACAGTGGAAAATTTTACTAAAGATTGGTAGGTTGGATGGCTAGTTTGGGTTTTTTTTGGAGGAAAATTGAGGGTGTGTAGGGGAAAATGCATACCTCAGAAAATTTCCTTTTTATCATTTTCGGATTCAGCGGAAAAATTTACGAAAGATAGGTGGGTTGGATGTCTAGCTTGAATTTTTTTAATTTTAATTTTTGAGAGGAATTGAGGGTGTGTGTGTGGGGGGGATCCACACGTCAGATTTTTTTATCATTTTCGAATTCAGCGGAAAATTTTACTACAGATAGGCAGGGTCACATCTCAAAAACAAACGATTTTTTTTATTTTGTCGGCCTATGTTATCAAAGAGACCTTAGCGACCTCTAGCGGAGGAAGCGGAATCATTGGATTTATAGAATTTTACCTAAAAAATTGGTGCAGAAATCATCAACTGATGCCACCCTATAAATTTCTGATTAAAACTAATAAATTCCTTTATTGGAAATATTAATAAAATGTAATTTTTTTCGAAATTAATATTGCCATTTTCATTACTGTTGAAGGAAATCCCATTGTCACAAAAATACAGGGTGTTTTGAAAGGTGCGAACTCGTAAAAATAGATAATTTTACCAAAAATCGCTTATACATATAAAAGTTGCAAAATAACAAAGATGGAAAACTTACCAATACAATTGCCCTTATTACAGTCCTTACAGTCTTGCTCTACATGTGGCTAAATCTTTTTGTCCATAAACACAAATAACTTTACAAGCGTTATCCATTCATTGCCTGAGGTTCTTCCACATTATTCGCTTCACGCCAATAAACTTCAAATGATCCCAAAGAAAACAAACTAAGAATTAGGTACCTAGTGTTCACTATTGGATCATTTTCGACATTTTCTAGAATAGGTAGTCGTATGGTGGCATTTCAGACCAAATGGGAATTTGAGAAAACACAGATTTTCTGAATATAGTCGTTTCGTCTCTTTATTGAGACATTTTCAGGAAATTACGAAAAAAATGTACATGAAAATACTAGTAAAGTATTTATAAATTAAATAAGTTAAGTAATTAAATACATAAACAAAGAGCCAAATTGAAACCAAAATAAAAATGAATTAAAATGAATACCTAAAATTAATTTAATTAATAGTATAAACAATTTTCTATCTGGAATTCAACCATGTCGAATGGTAGAGGGCCTTCCAGCAACTCGTCCTCTTTGCCCTTTTAAACACCCCATATCGTCACACTTGTTTAGAAAACATATAGAGAATAAAACGCTACCGAGAAAAACGATATTTATCATACTCATTCAACGCTCAGACTGGCTCTTCGCAGTAAAACATATACGCATGTCGTGCGAATACAACCACCAAAGCAAAAGAGAAGTAGGTAGGACCTACCTAATTTTTAAATATTTGTTATCATGTAGGTAATTTTAGGAAAAAATTTTCCTAGTTCTACCTTCTGTTACCTCAACTTTGAAAACACCCTGAATTTTTGAAAAATTAAATTAAAGCAATGTATACGTTGCTATAACCTCTTTTTTTTTGTTGAAAGGTTATTTTGTTGGAAGAAGCCTGGAGCGAACTTTTCCTCTTAAACGCCATCCAGTGGTGCATGCCGTTAGACGTCTCAGCTAGTCCCCTGTTCAATATAAACGAGCACGCCAAGAACGGTCATTCCGCCGCAGATATCCGGATGTTGGCCGACACCCTGATTCGTTTCAAGTCGGTTCACGTCGATCCTGCAGAATTCGCTTGTCTCAAAGCGATTGTTCTATTCAGAGCAGGTTGGTACATTGAAAATCCGGCTCGAAGGACCAATTAAATGTGTAATAAAACTCTGATTTCTTTTTCAGAAACGAGAGGATTGAAGGATCCCAGCCAGATCGAGAACCTTCAGGATCAGGCCCAAGTGATGTTGTGGCAGCACTGTCGCACGCAGCTTCCCGGTCAAGTAGCCAGATTCGGGCGGTTGCTCCTCATGTTGCCTCTTTTGAGAATGGTACCTGCAATCAGGATCGAGGCTGTGTTTTTTCAGAAAACCATAGGAAACACGCCTATGGAGAAAGTCCTGTGTGACATGTACAAAAACTGAATTTTCCTCGCAAATTATTTGTTACTAAGACTGAACTCTATAAGAGAGAGGATGGTGGACGTGTACAGCAGACATATTCTAGTCGAAATGTGATTATTTTAGGAATATCAGCTAAACCAAAGTACATCCCAGATTTTATTATAACATTGACTTTGAATAGTGTGTTGTGATTTGGGTAGATGAACAGACTGGATCAAATATGAAAAGTTTTGTTTTCGAACTCTCAGTTTTTTGATACACTATTCATTAATAAAGTTTAACAAAATTGTACCATTTCTTCAATCTAGTCAAGTGTCTATTAACTATGGAAACAGTGTTCAAAATCAACGACTTTAAAAAGGTATTCTCATTGTCTGATATATCTTAATGTTACCTAATATAAACTATTATATTATATGTATATTAAAGTTGTGTAAAATATTTAAGATGAAAACAAAACGAATTTTATGTAAGATATCCCTATACTCTGAAATGTGATGTGAGATCAGTGTATATGTAGCTATATATATTTAATGTAAATAACAAATAAAATTCTAAAAATATTTTTCAGTAGTTTCTTCATTTCAAGAAAAATTTAACGTTATTTATTATAAAATATATGTTTAGATGTGTACAATATGCTTCATAGGCATATGAAGTTTAGTAACCTTGCAATAGTCTATATATTCCAAAGAACTATATTTAAAGCTGCTAAAATCGCGAATTACAATTTATTCCGGACATATTGAAATGTGGGTGAGATATAACATACAGTGCATCATAATTTAATTGTCACTGCAACTCAAGGCCTACTGGCAAAAATCATTGCTTTGTACATACTGCAGAGAGCGACCTACTAATCTGTACGAACTATGAAAGCGTGACTAAACGAAATAAACTTTTTAACTAATGAACTAATGATATTGTGGGAAACAACTACTCTGCGGACTGCAGACCCGTCCAGCATTGCAATATCTAGTAAGCAGCTAAGATTATTCGACACTTGTATCACCAACCACAGACCAGTAACAAATAATAATATTATATGACGCATATATTTACATACCTATACAGGGTGTATCTAAATAACATCGAAAAAATTCAAGGGGCGATTCTCCGATGAAAATTAATAGGGGTCTTTGGTATAAAATTTTTTGAAAAAACCTTTCCCTGAAAAGTTACGCCCCTCCTAAAATTACAAAAAAAAATTGTTTTTCTTTTTTATCTTCCACGTACATCAAGCTAAAGAAACCAAACTTGGTGAACATTATCTGTCAATAAAACTNTTTAAGGTCATAGAGAAAAAAGCTAATTAAAAATGTGCTTAAAACTGTTTTGGAACTGCTGAAATACACGTATTTTATCGCGGCGAGTAGGTACTTACAAGAAATTCTGTAACACTTTTTACGAGTTTGTAGGTTTTTTAAGAAGCCGGACTGTATTCGAAAGTCAGTTTGTAATACATTGTTGTAGTGATTGCTGTGCTGTTTTTCGAGAGTACATTTAATAGCCGTATTTCCAAGTTTTCTTATGAAAATGGCGCATTTACTTAGCAATCGCGAATATTATGATATGCTCATAATTTACGGCGAAACAAACGAAAATGTCCTCAGAGCTTGTCAGGTGTACCGTGCAAGATATCTTAAACGACGTGCCCCCACACCGAGAACATTTGTTGCTGTGGCGCAAAGAGTTTTGGACACCGGTGAAGTACAACCGTGTCGAGGTCGCGACGGTGGACCACGGCGACCACTAAGATTCTTAAATGTCGAGATGATTTTAGATCTCGTCGAAGAAAATCCGCATCGTAACATCAGAAATTCGCACAGCAAGTAAATATTTCGCATCCTGTTGTGTGGCGGACATTACGAGAAGCTCAGTTGTACCCATTTCATATTCAACGTGTTCAAGCGCTTACTCCTCTGAGGATTTTACACTACGTCGAGGTTTTTGCGAATGGTTGCTTCAGGAACATGCAAGAAATCCTCAATTTACAGCGCAAATACTTGTTACAGATAAAGCATCTTTCAGTCGAAATGGTGTACGTAACACTTTTCAGTGAGCATGTGGGCCGGGATCGTTAATAACACTTTAACAGGACCTTTTGAATTGCTTAGACGCTTAAACGGTGCTTCATATCTAGATTTTTTGCAAAATCGTTTGCCGGAGTTATTGGAAGACGTATCATTAAATGTCCGGCAAAATATATAGGCCGCGGCAGCCTAGTTACTGTCAAATTTTATTTTTGCAAGAATTTGGAAACCTTTTTGTGAAATTTCGTTGTTCATCTGTTGACAGTTACTCACCAAAGTTTCAGCCATTTTGGACGCGCAGTTGTTATGTAACAGTCGTTTGAGTGAGTTGATGTGAGTGTTTTTATGAAAATGGACAAAATCGAGTATCGAGCTGTCATTAAATATTGGTTTTTGAAAGGCAATACGTCTACGCAAAACAAAGATGAGTTGGATTCTGTGTATGAGGACTCTGCACCATCATTTACCACAGTGAAATTTTGGGCAGCTGAATTTAAACGTGGTCGTAAGAGCTTGGGAGACGATGAACGTTCGGGACGTCCAAAAACTGCAACTACCGACGAAAACATCGCCAAAGATCACCAAATGGTGCTAGACGACCACCGAATTAAAGTGAGAGAGATAGCTGAGGTTATGAACATGTCAAAAGAACGTGTTTGTCACATATTAAATCAACATTTAAACATGAGAAAGCTGTCCGCGCGTTGGGTGCCGCGTTTGCTCACGTTAGACCAAAAACGTGTTCGAATGAACATTTCCAACGCTCTGTTGGCGCAGTTTAGGCGCAATAAATCCGAGTTTTGGCGCCGACTGTAGATGACTTGGATACACCATTATACGCCCGAAACAAAAATACAGTCCAAACTGCAACGGGGGAACCGGCTCCAAAAAAAGCAAAAACTGTTTTTTCGGCTGGGAAAGTGATGGCGACTGTTTTTTGGGATAGACATGGAGTTATTTTAATCGATTATCTTCAAAAAGGAAAAACCATTACAGGAGCATACTACGCATCATTACTTGACAAGCTGAAGGCAGAACTTGCGGAAAAACGGCCACATTTGCAGAAAAAGAAAATCCTGTTTCACCAAGACAACGCACCGTCTCACACCTCAGCGATTGCCATGGCGGAAATCCACGAATTACGGTTCGAACTGCTTGACCATCCGCCTTACTCAACAGATCTAGCCCCAAGCGACTTCTTTTTGTTCCCTCATCTAAAAATTGCTCTCGGAGGACAGAGATTTTCGTCAAATGAAGAGGCAATCACCTTCGTGAACAAAATTATTTTGCAGAGAAAAACGCCGAGTACTATTTGGACGGGTTACAGAGATGGGAGCATCGCTGGGAGAAGTGTGTGTGGGAGAAGGAGACTATGTTGAAAAATAAAAAAAAAATTCTGAAAAAATGTCTTGTATCTTTGTTAGGTCGGAAACTTTTCAGACCACCCTCGTATACACAATCTCTCTTAATATTAGAGAAAATAAATTATGTCACAATATGCAAAAATGTACAGGGTATTCCACAAGAAAAAACAAAGTTGGTACCTATACCTTTGGTTTGTTAGCAAAAGCGATAAATTCCTTCTAATAAATTTGATATTTTTTTTCTTTCTGACATTTTTAAAGATAACAAAATTATCAAGTTATCAGTTAGCCAAATCTAACATTTTTTAATGAGTGACTCGTGGTTTAAAAGTTCTTATAAGTTTCTCATGTTAATGACTTGCGATAAATTAATTTTTTGCCACTTTTGGCTACGGAATATAAGGTCGAAAATCGATATAGTAAAAAATTATGTTCTTCGTGATGTGTGAAAGTTACGTCACTACTAAAATGGTTTTTATGGCTCGTTGAAAACACGTGTAAATGGGTTTTTTAAACTTTAATAATGTGCTGGTGCTGGCGAAATGACCGGTCAACCATGCGGAAGAAGGCTTAAACTATTAGAATTAAAATGCTTTAGATCATAAATCCATCTTACCATTAAATCTATTAGTATTAAATGTTGTTAACCTACTACTACTACTTCTGTCATCTTTCAATTCTATATAAAAGTTGAAAATTTGATTATTGGGAGAGGATCAGAAAATTCTTCATTTTTTCAAAGGTTAAGATGAACTTAGGCAATCGACGTATAGAGGGCAGAACAATTGACTCGGACAGATCTCTGCAATGGAAAGTCTGTAGTAGCGTTGAGTGTTGAATGAAGAAATAGTACTATTTACCCTAGATAAATGATACTCTATTTACTCATTCAACGGTTATACCATTTGCCGTTATAAAGTACGTATTTTTTTTTATTTTAAGGAGTTTATGCAAGAATGTGTTGAAACCGACAAAGGAAGGTGTTAGAAAGACTGTAGGCACTAATGCACTTAATGCTTAATAGAGGTCAATCATAGAAATTATCCAAAAATAATGTTTTCTTATTTATTAAAGAAAATTACCTACATTTCACTTCCTTATTACAATCAATTAGTATTGTCTTATTTATTAAAAATTTGAATTACCTACAATTTGATATATAAACAGCCCTGTTATTAATTCCACATCGCAAAAAATCTGAATTTAATTTAAGCCAAATACCTGCATTGGTTTAATATAAGAAACTAACAAATTTCAATAACAAAAGTATAAGAATAATTTTATAAGTAAAACGAAATAGATTGATTGAACTGATATTATTCTAACAATTAGCATTAATTAAAATTCAAAGCAATTAAGTTATCTCGAATTTCCCATGATTAAAGCATGAAGCATAAAGTTCCCCAAATCTTAACTCCAAATCTTCATCCTGTTTCATAAACAATTATATATGTAATTTATATGCCTATTATAAGATAAGATGTACTTAAGTACAATGTACATAGTACCTATTATATGTGTTATTCCATTTAAGGAAAACCAAAATTTCGGTCACGACTTGTTTAAATGTGATGTATTCTCGTGGACCCCTTTTTGCTTCTGATGCACCCCCAGTTTTTGTTTT